TGTTTCTCGACGTATTCCAGCTCCTGCTTCACCGTGAAGAGCTCGAATGTGTCTTCACCTGCACTCAAAGGTAATGTTAGACACGCATCTGATATGTTCGCCATTATAACGGATGGTCAGTAAATTAGTAGTGATACTACAACTATCACTACTAATTTAGGATTGAAATGTCGGAAATAACCAGGATTCAGTGAAACGGGTGTAAAATGAGACGATCAATAGGCGAGAGGGCACGCGTGGAATGCTAGCGGGCTAAAGGCTAGTAGCCAGGATTAGGGAGGTTGGATATAAGTAGCGATATCAAAGCAATCCAATTGTTTTTTATAAGGAATACTATCGAGGATAAGTTCACATAATATAAAAATAGAAAGTGCTTGTTTATAAATAAGTGGTAAAGAAGAAAATCAAGGATTTGTGAAGAAATTCTCCGGAGCTACAAACACAAACCACAGTATGGCAAGGTCCCCTCATGGTCCCAGAGCCAGGGATCATGACGGTGGTGGTGGCTCATCTGGCAAATCGACCCTTGATATGGCTATCGTTAAGAATTGTTCAGTGGTATTGACTCGTCTCAGGGAGGGACGGGTTGGAGGCAATACCCTGACAGGGAACAATGCAGCAAACCTCAGAGCGAAGAGTCAAATTGAAGAAGCCTCAGGTCCAGTGCAAACTGGCACCTCCCAAAGAAACGGGATTGAGCTACCCTACCTCTAGCGGGGCGCAGGCTGGGGTTACTGGAGTGGTGGTTTTACTTCCGCTGCGGGACTTCACATGTGCCCTGTGTGGCGTGTCGGCTGGCGCCCTTGCATGGATCAGGAAACATTTCGCGATCCAGCATGGAAAGGCGCTTGTTAGATACAGCTGCAGAACGTGCGGAAAAACCTCGGAAGCGGCCCATAAAATAGCTTGTCACATCCCTAAATGCGGTGGAGTGAAGGTCTAAATGCGGTGAAGTGTGAGGGGTGTGAGACTACGTTTGGGTCGGTACGAGCGCGGAGTATTCACGAACTGCACGTCCACCCAGAGGTTAGGAACAGAAAGAGGATTGAATTGAGCAGGAAAAGGGGAAGTTCTGCTCCTCAGCAGACTGAGGCGGAGATTAAGACTCTCAGCACTTTGGACTCCTCCGCAGAGGGTCATCCCGCCAAACGACAGCGCAAATCTCGAGCTGCGAGGGAGAGTGAGGATACGTCTGAGCCTTCTGCGAGTGCGTCGGTCCCTCCCATTCAACCCAACTTGCCAGAGGGTGGCCTCCTGATTCTCCTCAGAGAGGTGGCCCATAAAATGGTGAGCGAGGGGGAGGGCGACGACACGGGACTCATTCAAGCGCTTACAGCCTGGCTGGAAGGCTGCGACCAGGTACCCGAACTGGTGGAAGCGGCAACGCAACGGATACTCCAAGGATGCGTCCATGGAGGGGAGAGTGGTCCCAGAGGACCGCCGTCCTCAGGTAACAAGCGAGCTCGCCCTCGGTATCGGAATAGGTGCTGTGAAAGATATCTTGCCCATAAACGCGCCTACCACAAGACCCAATACCGATTCAAACATGACCCGGCCCGCCTAGCAGCTGAAATTCTTGATGGAAGACAGGACACACGGTGTCCCATTTCAGCTGAAGTTATTCAAAACTTCTTCCAGGCAAAATGGGGGACCCTCCCCCCTTCCGTGGGCTGGGTCAATTCAGGGTGGAGGAGTGTGCTGATAACACTCCTCTCATGGGGCCACTCTCCCAGGGTGAGATCCAGTCTAGCCTCCGGCAGGCCTCGAACGATTCCGCACCGGGCCCAGATGGGATTGGGAAGCGGGATATTCTCAATTGGGACCCCGGGTGCGAGACCCTCACTGAGCTGTTCAACATGTGGTGGATTACGGGAGTGGTTCCTTCCCGCCTGAAGAAAAGTCGAACGGTACTTATTCCCAAGACATCTGACCCAGGGGCGGTGATGGAGGTGGGCAACTGGAGGCCCATCACCATCGGGTCTATGATCTTGAGGCTCTTCACTAGGGTGTTAACAAAGCGGCTAACTGAATCTTGCCCAGTTCACCCTAGACAAAGGGGCTTTCGTGCTACCCCCGGGTGTGCGGAGAACATCGAGGTGCAGCGAGGCCTCATCCGACACTGCAAAGAAGAGCGCAACCCACTCGCAGTGGTATTTATCGACTTTGCACAGGCGTTCGACTCCGTTTCCCATGAGCACATCCTGTCGGCTCTTGGGCAAATCAAAGTGGATCCCCACATGGTAGGTCTGATCCAGCAGATCTACACGGACAGTTCTACCTGTGTCGAGGTCGGGGGTAGGAATACCCCAGACATCAAAGTGAGGGTTGGTGTGAAGCAGGGGGACCCATTATCCCCCTTGCTTTTCAACCTTGCCTTGGATCCACTGATCCAAGGCCTTGAACGCAATGGCCGTGGCTACATTATGGAAGGGGGTCAAACAGTAGTGTGCCTTGCATTTGCTGATGACCTTGTGCTGGTAGGAGGATCTTGGAAGGATATGGCGTACAATTTACATCTGCTCGACCCGTTCTGCCAGAGTACCGGGCTCAGGACTCAACCAAGAAAATGCAAAAGTTTCTACGTGAAACCTGGTGCTGGATCATTTACAGTCAACGACTTCCCTCCATGGGTACTGGGGGGGGAGGCGATCTTACAAACCAGCATCAGCGAGGCTGTTAAGTACCTGGGCGTGAAGGTTAACCCCTGGGGAGGGGTGGTTGAGCCTGAGTTGACAGGTGCTCTGAAGGGATGGGTCAAGAGCATCGGGAAATCCCTCCTTAAACCCTCGCAGAGGGTGGTTCTCCTTAACCAGTATGCCCTTCCTCGCCTTTACTATTAAGCCGACCTGGGGGAGGTTGGTGATAATGTGCTGCGAGCCGCGGACGGAATAATCAGGGGGGCGGTCAAGGAGTGGTTGCACCTTGCTCCATCCACCACTGATGGGCTATTGTAAGCGAAAAACCGGGATGGTGGCCTGGGGATTTGCAAGCTCACTCGGCACATTCCGTCTATGCAAGCAAGAAGGCTTCACCGCCTTTCTTGCTCTGTAGATCCGGTTACCAGGGCATTGATGCTGACTCCATACATGCGGTCCAAGTTCGAAAGGGCGTGGATGAGGGCCGGTGGCACTAATGAGAACTTCCCACTGGCTAGTGAGGAAGTATTGAACGATAGAGGAGACGCCACCGGCCTGCTGACCCACACGTGTGTTTCTCCATTCGATTGGAGACGTGACGAATTCCTGAAGTGGGCAGGTCTCCCTACCCAGGGAGTGGGTATACTCGGCTTTAGGGAAGCGGTTGCCAGCAACTCGTGGCTGAGGAAGCCCGCATGTATGACCGAAAGGCAGTACATTACGGCTCTTCAGCTACGTGCCGGGGTGTATCCCACTCGAGAGTTTCGGTGTCGGGGTAGAAGCAAGACTGAGGCAACTTGCAGGAGATGTCCACATAGGTTGGAGTCATGTTCACACATACTAGGGCAATGCCCGACCATGAGCGTGGCCAGGATTGCCCGGCACCACAAGTTGTGCCGTCTCCTCGGGGCTGAGGCGGAGTCCCTCGGGTGGGAGGCACGCCAGGAATGGGAGTTCAGAACCTGTAACGTGGTTGTGAGACGACTTGACCTGGTACTCATCCGTGGGGATTGCGCCCTGGTCATTGACGTAACGGTCCGATATGAGTTGGCTCCTGACACTCTCACGGTGGCAGGGCTGCAAAAAGAGGACTATTACGGGCCCTATAAGAATGTGATCGCATCGAAATTGGGTGTTAAGCATGTACAGATCTTCGGGTTCCCCTTGGGCGTGAGAGGCCTATGGCACAAAGGCAAAACCAAACTGCTTGAAACCATAGGCATGGGGAAGCGGAGGATGAAATCCTTTGCGAAGTTGATGAGCCGGAGGTGCCTCCTCTACTCGTTGGAAATTCTGCGGAGGTTCTCCTCCACCCGAAGGAAGTAGGTATCGAGGGCGTGATTCCCGTTGTGCATGCCTGCTGTGATGTACAGGCCTGAATGGGGTAATGTGCCAAGCTGGTCCCGTGAAGGGTTAACAGTGTCAACATGCCTGAATAGGTTTTGTCACACGGCAGTGTACAGAATAACGGTATGGACAGAAATGGGGGCTGGTGTGGATCCTCGTGGGGTCGGTGAGAGGAGGTTGCATCTCTGACTACCGGCTCGGCGGGGACCTGCTCGGCCCCCTATAGACAAGCAGAAGGCGAGTGCTCGGGGTGTTGGGGTCGCGGCTCCTGTGAAGGCGATGGGTATGAGGAGCCCATTGTACAGAAGGGGGCTGCGGTTCTGACCTCGAGCACTCAAGGGCGGTTGAACGATGACAGCCTCGATACTGACGGGAGCGGACAAGCCCGGTTGCCAAAGGGGTGCCATAGTAGTAGCAAGCGTAATGTCTCGAAAGGACCCAGCCTGAGGGCAAAGACACAGGACCCAACGCCAATGAATGGGCTGATCGCATCAGCTCACATCTGGTAATGGGTTACCTGTAGGGTCAGGGGAAGGGGAAGGAACCGGACGTACCGGAAGGGCAGAACCCGAGTTCAGAACCTATCACTTGTATGATGACTCCCCCGTTGTCATTTGCAGGTTGGGTAGGCAATCTGAAGTGCTAATGCCCTCTCCCTAGGTACAAAACCGAAAGATGGGCATTCTGTCTAGAAGCAGGCATGCTTCTCCACCAACTCATGGGCGGTAATGGGACGGGCATCTCCAATATGGCCGAACTCCTAGCGAAGGGACATGCCAATGGCAGGAAGACCTCCCCAGTACGGGGCAGGAGCATTTCGCCCAGGGAGCGAGGAATGTTGCGAGGAAGAAGTCTCATGACCAACCTACTCACCCGAAAGATGGATATGAGTCCCTATCTAATGGCACCCTGATGGCAGAGAAGCGCGGGGTGGGGGGGGGGCAGAACTTGACCCTCACTAATTATCTCTCTCTTTGTGTTCTGTTACAGGTGCTGGTGCAGATGCGGGAGAGGGGGAGCAACGGTTGCGGACAAGGCCGGTGCCGGTTGGCAGGATAGGGACGGAAACGGGACTCGATATGATTAAACATAATGCTGCCCACTGGAACAATGCGGATGCACTAGTGACACTAATTCGCAGCATGATTGGCCTTCATGTCTACTGGGTGACGTGAGTATACTACCTTCCAAAGTTAGCCGGTTTTGTCGTCAAGTGCGCTGGTCGTTCGACCGAATTACCAGCGTGCAGGTAGTATGGGTGACGGGCATCCTTAACAATCCGGAAAGGTGAGACCCCTTGTATCGTACCAGGCGACGATACATGCTCAATGGCGTCTCGCCGTGTCGCTAGCCAAATGCCTCGTCATCTAATTAGTGACGCGCATGAATGGATGAACGAGATTCCCACTGTCCCTACCTGCTATCTAGCGAAACCACAGCCAAGGGAACGGGCTTGGCAGAATCAGCGGGGAAAGAAGACCCTGTTGAGATTTACCCCAAAATGTTCGTGAAGCTGAAGAAAGCTGGAGGTATGATATTGTCATTCCATGTCGTATTTTCTTGTTTTAATACCCATAATTTTGCAGAAAACATTTGCTCAATAACCTTTCTGTTATTGTTACACAGGTGGAGTGTTGCATATGGGCTGCACCCATGGTGTTGTATACCATAACAGGGAAATAAAAATATTAACACAACTTTTCAACATTAGGACAAAATCTCACATCTCTATTCTGTCGAGAAGAGAGACTCCACTGTCATCGCAAAAATCTCTCACTACACCTCATTGGAACTACGTGACCTGAAAAGCGTTTGCCCACCTGATCTCTTGAAAGACACCGGTATTTTGATGCCATGGCTAACTGATAATGTGAGTACCAATTATTTTGACAAATATTTGTTTAATATTCTTGATAATATTTTTAGTGAACTTCTTATCTAAAATGTAATGTTTAACTTTTAAGACATGTACAGTAGATATTGAAACTCACATCATAATTTTCCTCAAATTTATTTTCGTATTGCGCTTTAAAGGCAGTAAATTGTAGGGTTGCACAAATTGCAGCAGAGACCCAGAATGTAAGTAATCACTTCAGAACATAAACTTTTTTTCACACTACTATTCAGAAACGTAATTAAGTATTCCTATTGTGCGATTTATTCAACATACTAGTGATGTTACGTTCGTGAACGAATCGTTCTTTTTGAACGAATCTTTTAGGTGAACGAATCATTCTCGTTCACGTTATCCATTGACTCATATTTCTCGTTCACTGAAATTCCCCCTTCTACCACTGCGCGCCGCTATTGCGCGCATGCGCAGCTCAATGAACCGTGTAGCTCTGTGGCCCGTTTCATCTGTCAAAGACAAAGAGTGACTAAACCTCGAGCCAATAGCCTTCGAGTATGATACGGGACGGAGCATGTGATTTGTTGAATCTAGTGAACGAATACGCCCTTTATTGAGTTGCTTTGAGTTTGAACGAGTCCAATGAACTGTTACATACATCTCGTTCGTGAATGAAAGAACCAGTTGTTTGAACGTCAAGATAATAATGACGACGAAGTTAACAGTGCAAGCTGATGGTTTAATTTAATAAAAGACAGCTTAAAATTTTCGTTTTTACTAAGATCTACAAACTACATCAGGTAATCTGCTAACTTCAAAATGAGTGGCACCACTAGCACTGGTGTTTTGTGTGCATTTTGTATTATTTATTTTTATTATTGTTGTTTTATGTTTCAACAGTTTTATACTTTAACTGTAAAACATTAAAACATTAAAAAAAAATAGAGTATTATTGATTATTTGCGTCACGTCATTCCAGCTCATTTGCGTCACGTGACTCACGTCAGCTAATAGCATTTCAGCTTGGGCTTAGAAGGGGCATGTAATTGGTTGGATCTACTCTGCTGAATGAGTCTGAACGAGAGAGAGATCTCCCGTTCGTGAACGAATTGAACGAACTGGTTGCTATACCCAGTTCGTGTACCAGGTCGGCCATTCTGTCAATCTATATACATGTAATTTTGTTCTCTCTTTAGTGTATAGCCTTGACGACTGACACATTCATTTTGTGGCATAGAGACTGGCTTGCTTCAAAAACACTTTCAGATTCTCATTTGAAAATTCTTGAGGTACTGTACAATTTGCAAAATAAATATATATTAAGCTCTCCTGCATGTTTATACATGTAATGGCACAGTATGTGTTTCCTATTTCTTTCATTACAGTATGATGCACAGAAAATTCTGTTTCCAAGAATTGTTGGTGGCCAGACACCAGAGAGAGGATGCCACTTCATTCTTTGGGTTAGTTCAAATCGAGGAGTGTTAAAGGGTTAGTTCACCCAAAAATGAAAATTAAGTCATTAATTACTCACCCCCATGCTGTACCAACCCCGTAAGACCTTCGTTGGTCTTCGGAACACAAATGAAGATATTTTTGATTAAATTTGAGAGCTGTATAACTACCACATTGGCTGCCTAAGGGACTGCCTCTTGACGGCCCAAAAAGTCAATGAAGAAAATGTTTAAATATCCCAAGTGACTACCGTGGCTCAACTATATGTTTATCAAGCGACGCGAATACTTTTTGTGCGAAAAAACAAACAAAAATAACGAGTTTATTCGACTATTTCTTTTCTTCCTTGTAGGCCAGAACGAGACTTCCTTAGATTTCCACGACGCATGCGAGAGAATTGCGATCTGCTTACACCAGCTTACACTACTTCAGATCGCAATTCTCGCGCATGCGTCGTGGAAATCTAAGGAAGTCTCGGTCTGGCCTACAAGGAAGAAAAGAAATAGTCGAATAAACTCGTTATTTTTGTTTGTTTTTTCGCACAAAAAGTATTCGCGTCGCTTGATAAACATATAGTTGAGCCACGGTAGTCACTTGGGATATTTAAACATTTCCCTTAGGCAGCCAATGTGGTAGTTATACAGCTCTCAAATTTAATCAAAAATATCTTCATTTGTGTTCCGAAGACGAACGAAGGTCTTACAGGGTTGGTACAGCATGGGGGTGAGTAATTAATGACTTAACTTTCATTTTTGGGTGAACTAACCCTTTAATCACATGATGTAGAAATTTGATAATAAAGAGACTGTACAGTGAAGTTAAAATTTTGTAAATAAGTAAATTTATCATCCGTAAGCATTGTAAATTTTACCCATTTTTTATTTCTTCTACAGGTCTTTGACAAGACAGCCAAAAAAAATAGAATTAATGACAACACACAGCACCACATTAACATTTCAGCAACAAACATGGACATTCTGAAGTACGATCCATAATCTATTTAATAATTGTGTACATTTAAAAATATTTAATGACTTGGTCGCCTACTTTACTTTAATTCTATTTCCTAGAGATGCGTTTAGAAATCTAGACTCCCTGGAAGGGTGAACTGTGTGCAAGTCCAGAGAAATGATGGAAGCAACTGTGGTGTTTTTGTTTGCACAGTGAGTAGATGGAGGTTTATTTCCGCAAATGTGTACATGAATTAACGTTTATATAATAAATACAAAGAGTCTTTAATCAAAATGTGTTTACTAGTTCACTACATTATACAAAGCGCTTTACATTTTCATAGACTGCAGAGATGGATGCAAAAGGTCTCAACATGTCATCTGAGTTGCTCCACACTGAACAGTTGATTCCAGAGTTTACCATGCTTCATGTTTGGTTGAAAATATACAAATTGAGGTAAAGCAGAGTTTAAATTTCTAAATTAAATCATGCTTCTTTTACTATAAAATGGATGCATGTATGGTCTGTTTAGTGTCCTTTAGTAAATAATAAAATACATTTTATAATTACTATTTTGCTTAAAATTATAAACTAGTTTACACCTCTTCTGTTCTTAGGACTTCACACCAAATATGACAACTTCTGAGGCTGAAAACAGTTGTTTGGCCCAGGAGATTGGTGTTTGCATTTTTCAAAGAATCCGGAATAAGTAATCACCATACTGCGTTTACCATGTTAAACTATATAGATTGAATAGTTATGTAAATGTGCATATTGTTTCTTCTGCAGAACCATGCATCCAGATGTGAAGACACTGCAATGGATTCAGTGTGACATTTGCAATGAGTGGCTGCACTATGACTGTGCTGGCATAAATCAAGCAACGGTCACAAAGGACATGGCATTCAGCTGTGGATGTGACATTGAAAAGGCATATCCTTATGAGAAGTATTCAGTTGACGTTTCTAAACAAAGTTCACTCACTGCATTAAAATCAATTTATTTATTATTTTTCTAACCATCCCATTTCTTTTTACAGAACTCTATCCATGTTGAAGCAGGGATTGGTGGTAAACGTAGTGACAGAACAGGACATAATGGTTGTTTCGTCAAAACAATGAGGTTTTCCTTCAAATTCTGTCATACTCAAAAATTCCTGTAGAGGGCAGTGTAGTGTGGTGACTGGGCAGGAACCATTGAGAGGGTTTGTTTCCAAGGGGGCACAATAAAGTGGTGCACCACAAGAGCACATGCAGGTGAAAAGTTTGGAGAAGATCTCTTGCTGGACTTGCAATGAATTTCACCCACATTCAGTTAAAACAAATTCAAACTTGAAGACGCAACTGATTATCAACCTATTGCAGATCTATTGCTGATCTATTTCTGACCTATTGCTGACTACTGCTTCTGCAAATACCTCTGCAATCCCAGAAAATAAACAGTCAAGTCAATGAGTTGCTTTCTCTTGCGTCCTTCAATGTTTGAACGCCATATCAAGTTTGGGCAGAGCTGAATAAAAAAGTGGGAAACTTGACAGTTGATAATCAGCGTGGCAATGAAGACAGAAGGATCAAAGGCCTAAACGTCTCAAAGTGTCGACGCAGTGAAAGAGAATCATCTGAAATCGTCTCGCAATGGCAGAGGAAGCTTTTGGAAAAGCAGCGAGGCAGCTGAAGCAAGAGAGGACCTTGGCTAAGAGTGCATTCACCAGGCAGGCAAACTTCCTCAGCAGAGGAGCAAAAAACTTGACGAAAAGTGAACTACAAGAGGAGTTCAAAAAGCTCATTTCTGAGGCAAGGAGTGTCGGCGACATAAACAACATAAATACTTCTTCACACCAATAACTGAATAAATGTGACTTGCCTTTTTTGTAAGGTGAAGCTTTGTGACAATTAAAAAATAATGTATGGTTGTTTCACTTGTTTCAAAGAGATACTATATGAACCCCTATACAGTTATTTCCTTACTGTTTGAAATGAATTAACCATTTCTTCACATTGTAGGAACTACACAGTGGCTTGACAAGTGGCATAATAAGATCAAACAGGATGTTTTTGCATAAACATCCAACATTTGCCCCTAAGCTGAAGACAAAACTTAATGAACGGATTTCTTTTTTTGATGAACAACAGGTAAAACAATTGTATAATAAACAACCAATCAAGTAACCTTTGGAGGAAAAACAACAAATATAAACAATTATTTACTAACATTTGGAAATAATGTACACTTCAGAAATAACAAATATACTGTAACAATGTTGAATGCAATGCCTTTTGCCAACAAACAGAGGGGATCATTGATAGAACTCAACAAGTCACAAAGATAGACATGAAAGAGTTAATCAATACATCCTACATTTTGGAAGTAGTAACTCCTGAGGTAAATTTTATAATTTTGTTCTCCTATGACTCACTTCATGGGTCATTCGTAAATCAAATTAAATGCATTTTAAATGGACATCCTCTCTTTCCTTTCTTGGTCTTTTTAAATGTAACCCTATTAATCCTAAAAAAAAGACAGAAAAGGTTCTGCAAACAAAGGGACATTTGGCGTAAGTGTAGCATAAAGGCATTTTTTTGTACCCTTTTTCCTGATTTTAGTATTTGCTTTATAGCATTGTCAATTCTATGTGTTTTATAAACCCTTACATTATTAAACTCTTATCATTTTTACAGAATATCCAAAGATTTTGATCCAGACTGGTTTTGAGGACAAAGGAATGCCTCATGTTGCTGTGCCACACACATTATACTAGGACTTTTTCTCTGTCCCCCTTCCTTGTTACCTTTGTCATGTTTGTTAATTATTAGTTACTTATTTAATAGAGTAAGCCGTTTGAGTTTGCTTCAGTGTCAAAATGTGAGGTTAATTTAATAACTGTTTTTTAACTTTAAAATTATCGAATAAAATACATGTCACAGAAAATTTTAGTAGCCTCCCATTAATGGTAAAGCAGTGTATTTTTTATATATGTACCTTTCAATCATATTTTTGCTTGAGTTTTTTTCTTTGCCAAATGCACTTGAGCCCTCTAAACAATAAATGAAAACAAATAATAATCACAAATGCTTTTTCAATTCTTCTGAGTGACACAAATATTTAAAGAAATCGTTTATAAAGCTTTATAAATGTTTCACCAAATGAGTACTTAATGTATTTAAACAAAATTTCATGAAACGATGTGATTTTTAAATATTGAATTTGTGGCATGTTCTGTAACAAGCAGTTTGTATAATATATAACTAGCACGAGTGCCCTCCAATACGGGTTTAGCAAATAAAAAATAAGATCAGATGATAAATGTGTAAAAAAGATCTGTATTGCACTGAATGTGTGCACTCATGTACCATTAGGAGTGTGTGATAGGTGTAAACACAGTGAGAGATCGTGTGGCAGGAAAAGCTGGAGCGACGCTTAATAAACCCATATGAGCGCGCTCCCATAGCCATAAAAAGAGCGAATAAAAAATAAGATCAGGTGATAAATGGGTAGATAACATCTGTATTGCACTGTATGTGTGCTCTCGTGTACCATTAGGAGTGTCTGATAAGTGTAAACAGTGAGAGATCTTGTGGCTAGGAAGACGAAAAGCGTTTGGTTAATGGTGAATATTGACCTATTGTGCTGGCTCTCGCTGGCTTCCTTTCTTACATATTTTGTAAGTTCGAGTGGCAGTTGCATATATCTGTGACTGGTCGAGTGGCAGGCGCTATATAATACAGTGGCAGACGCACACATCTGTGGCCGGTCGAGTGGCAGGCGCATATAACGCAGTGGCAGGCGCACATATCCGTGGCCGGTCGAGTGGCAGCTCCCCCTGCCACGCAAAGATTTT